GCGGCCACATGTGTCACATCTTTCTGCCTTGAGGAAGGGACCCTGCGCGGCCACATGTGTCACATCTTTCTGCCTTGAGGAAGGGACCCTGTGCGGCCACATGTGTCACATCTTTCTGCCTTGAGGCAGGGACCCTGCGCGGCCACATGTGTCACATCTTTCTGCCTTGAGGAAGGGACCCTGCGCGGCCACATGTGTCACATCTTTCTGCCTTGAGGAAGGGACCCTGCGCGGCCCCCCAACAAGTTTATTTGGATGTCTGTGACGCTTTCTGTCCAATAAAAGGGACATATTTATCTTTACTACTGAGTGCTGGTGATTTCCTGACGTAATGACGACACGACGAGGTGTCACCCGGTCTAGAGACTGGGTGACACCTGGCCTCGGGACGCCCCAGATCCACCCCCTCCATTTGTCCAGGTGACCGTTGAAGAAAATTCCCAGTGGTGGTTTGTCACCAGAACAGCAATAGATGGGAAATCTTCCAATAGGGACACTAGTTCTGGCGACCCCGCTGACCACCAGGGATTTCCCTTTCTTTGCAGGGATTTCTACTAAATTCCTATCGTGCCAGTCAGACAGGAAGTGAAGAAAAAGTCACCCAATGGACACAGATGGCACAAAAAAGCTGACAGAAGTTATAATCCTCCATTACTCTATCCAAAACTAAAAAGGTTCTGGCTTCAGTTCTACTTTCACGGCCCACTGTTGTCACCATCAGAAAACCTGTGCTGAGAAATACCATAGAGCCATCGCTGGCATGCATGTAGTAGACATGTGCACCGGCAAAAAATGTTTCGATTTGGATTTTCGGGATTCGGACAAATTCGTTAGTGGTAGTCTGAACGAAGTTTCCATTTCATGTTCGTTTCGTTTTATCAAAGTGACATAAAAAAAATATATATTTTTAAAATGTCACTCTGATGCAACGAAAATTCGTCCACAAACAAAAATGCGGACAGATTACCGCTAACGAATTTCGTCTGAAATTTCGTTTTCGGAAATTCGGTATCGTTTTCATTCGTCATTTCTGTTATTCGGAATTTCGGATACATCCGAAATCTCCGAATAACGAAAATCCATCCAAAAAACTAATTTTTCCGAAAGAATGTCTAGCATGTAGACAGCAGGCATGATGACTCAACCCTAGTGAGCCTGTCCATGACAGCCTTAGTTCAAGGGGATCCGGAAGAGGTCTTATGGCTGAGGATGCAAAGGACTGTGTTGCAGCCTGGACAAGGTGAGAGAGTGTTTTTTAATAATGAAATAATGGAGATGTGCTTTTAATAAAACAAAATGAACCAAAACCATTACAGCTTACTTTAGTGCTCAGGTCCAGCAACAATGCCAGTGATAATGAGATTTCAATGTATGTTTGCATATTTGTATCACCGCTGTGTTATTTGCTCTGATATTTATATATTGTCCTATTTTATATAAAGATCGTTGGATGTCGAGTGCGACGGGAGCCAGCAGAGGCGACAGAACGGTACACTCGATGGATCAACAGCTTGACCCCCGAGCAGCTTCTGACCCAGGTGACGATTTTCAGACGCATTTTATTGTCCTCTGAGCTGCACGAATATTGTTTTGAGCCTCGACGCTGCAGCCCTGGCCATAGCCCATAGGCACGCGCCTTGAGTGATACGCAGCCAAGTTCCCTGAGCGGGTCCCTGCGTCTTCTGAGCTCACACAGGGCCACATCTGCTGCCTCATTCTATTGCAAAACTGTGAAATCAAAAATAGCTGATCGCTTTGGCTGCTTTGTGTGTTTCCTCTGTAGAGTAACACATTCTGGCAATTTGCATAACTGACCATGTGCTATTTGTTGTTGTTGTTGTTGCAAGTTGCATGTGATTAATTTTAAATCGGCACAATAGGAGAGCTTGGCTATCAATGATCAGTTGTATGATCTATTGGATACTTATGGATCCTACTTTAAATAACTGAACCTCGGAGCTGGTCGGCTGCCACATCACTCCCTCAAGCCTGCCCTACGCTGCAGCGATGGTATGTCCCTCAGCTTCCTCACATCCAATACAATGGACATGATGACTCAAGGATTCTTGGACCACTGCAGTGGAGGGGGGGGGAGAGAGGCTGGAAGAACCGGTCTAAGAGCAAGACACCTCCGCGCATCAGGTGAGTATAACCTTTTTTTTATTTTAGTCCCTAGATGAAAATGAGTAGTTAACCCTTGCAGTGCTGGGGTAGCCCCACTGAAAGGGTTAATAACAGTTTTGCCCGGCATTCCACTTCAGAGCCCATTCACACCAGGGCGGTTGCGGATCAGCGGTACTGCACTGATTTCAAAAGGGAGGTTTGGGGAGTTTTTAATAGCGTTTCAGCGCTGATCAGCGTGGTTCCATTGAAAGCTGTATGGAAACCACACTGATCAGCGCGGCAAAAATAGTGCAGTCAGCAGTTCGGACGGGGGCCAGTTCGGATCACGCTGAGCCGTGCCGTCGCATGAACGGTCCCGATAGCAATGTATGGGATTGTTCATTTCGGCGGCTGAACCGCCTTGGTGTGAACGGGGCCTCAAGCTCGTGATTCCTTGACTGTTGTTAAAAGTATATAGTATCCATCTATTATTTAGATGTTCTGCGCTTAAATCTTATTCATGTGCTTTTCCTCAGGCACACTCATAAATCACAGTTTGTTTTTTACCCTTAACTCTCCTTAAAATGGTCTTTCCCACCAAAGTCATTCCCAGTACGGACATGCAATCCTACCTACCATTAACAGGCCCCTCCAATCCCAGTTAAACGGCGCCTGGATTAAGTGTTACAGGTTAGGGACAGGTGCAGTTTTTGCGGTCCGGCTCCGGGCCTTTGAAGCTGCTGCTTGTAAGTCTTAAGCTCTTTCAGCCCTTAGCGGGAGAAGGCCTAAGCATGTGTTCCTGTCACTCACATGGAAGATTTTTTCATAAGACTGATCGGCCCATTAAGACGTTGGGAATTGATTGAAGTGACGGATCCTGGAACGTCGAGAGATTTTAGAATGAAAGGTAGACATGTTAGAGATTTGTATTTTTAAAGGAGATGAAAGACATTTATCCGGTCAGTCTTGGATTATCAGTGGAGCCCGTGTGCAAGGGTTAGGATAGCTCATCCCAAAGTTATGCAAATACTGGATAACTATGGAGTGACAGGAGAAAAACATGGTATATTGTAGGAAAAAATGGTATGTGTAGCTAATAGACCAATGAGGTCCTCTAAACCAGTGCACACCAACCAGTGGTCCGTGAACCACTGGTGGTCCACGAGAAAATTTTGGTGGTTCCCGGGCCCCTCTGATGCCGTTCAGGCTGGGCCGTCGTCGAAGTGGCACTGAGGCTCCGGGGCTGCCTCTCACTGACTCAAGCAGCTGCTGTCACAGGGAATAACAATTTTCCTTCATACCCCTTTGATTTTCCTCATCACTACGGTCAAAAGCAAACGATTAGACACAAATAACCATTAGATAGTCGAACAAACATTGCAAAAAACTAATTTTAGAATAAAATTCTAGATTGTAAGCTCATTGAGGACAGGGACTGATGTGAATGTGCACTGTGTAAAAATGTTGGCATTATATAAATACCTGTTATAATAATAATGCTAGTGTATGGCCAGCTTTAATCCCCTGCACTTTCAAGTGATCACCAGTGATTATTAAGCTGTGTACAGCTATCTGATGGCTTATAAAACCTCTTATTAAACATGTGAATGAAGTATTTAACTCTATAAAAAAAAATAGGAAGCACTCAGGATTTCCTGTGACTGTTGCTGGAATTGACGGCACTACAACGGCATCAAAACAAACTTTCACTGCACACGTTTCACACTCACAACAGAGAGGCCTCATCTAACCTACATTATATAAAATCTGGTGGAGATCATTTTTACAGAAGAACTCTGGGCAGAAACAAAATGAACCCTTGCAGTGGGTGCTCTTGTCCTGCTGATAACAGCTTCACCAGACAGGAAGGAAGAGAAAATCTACAACAGAGGCAGAAATACAAATCTGGACATGAAAGAAAGCAATAAGAACACCATGCCAATGGTTGTAGAGAGCAAGAAGATTTCAAACTACTCCATATTGTGGAAACATATAACAGCCAATGCATTTGTAGGGACTCGGGCACACCACCTTCATCAGCTGTGTGAACTAGGACTGTAGGGATTTGGGAGTATGGAATACACCATAGGATTGCTAAAATCCAGCCAGGTTAGGGGCTTCAATATGATGATGTGCAGAAATAAAAAAATCTTACAGGGGTTCTAGGCTTCTCCTGCTCTACTATGTTAAAATATGTTTTTGTACATATTGCCATTGGAGAGTTGGATCTTCTGCTGCAGGATTTTATTTTTTTCCTCCTTCATTTTTAATGGGATATTATGTAATGAATTTGCATACAATGATTCTTTATCTCCAAGTGAGCAAGTTCCAAAACTGGTAAGAATTTAATCGGTACATACTGCCCACTTTATTGTTGGCCTGTAAACTGGTTCATCAACTTTTTCTCTCACACTTTAACGTCTGCTGCCCAACCTCCCAAAATTGCAGCTTTCCTCTAGTTATCCTCATCCCGGCCGGGGGCTAGAGAGGTCTCCTCGGATGGGCAGGGTGCCAGTGGTGAGCTGGAGGAGATTTTGGCAAAAACAATCTCTGCTTAGCCTGGAATGATGCCAACGGTTAGCAGTTTAACTACTGCATTGCTAACAGGCCGGCGGCTGGGTGCGATGGAATCTGCTGCGGGCTTGTCAATCAGTGCCCAGATTAATACGCGGATATAAGGTCGAGACGGAGCTTCGGGGGTGCAGCTGATGACTGACCCCCTTAAACGTGTAGATAATTGGCGGTATTTTCCTGCCAGGTCCATTAGTCACAGTGGAAACAATTATTTTATTTATTTTTTTCTGCTGTTAACTATTATTGACTAGTGCATGTATTCATTTGTTTCAAGGGTTCCATTTGGGTGAGTCACAAAGCCACTAAGATTCACATATATTTTTTTGGGGCAACATTACAAATGTATGAACTTTTCCGGGGAACAAGCTAAATCAGAATTCAAGAGCCAATTTGTCCAACCTGGAACTTTTAAAGGGAAAGTATAATATACTTTTAGTTTTAAAGTAAATATTGCAATGGCTTAATGTGTGGGTCAGGAGCATCATGCCCCAGGTTCAATTAACAATAGGAAAACTTTCTAGGATCAGTTACCCAGATAGCGGATGGAGAGGGGCTTTAAATTGATGCTCATTAACTCAGAAAAAAGTAACCAAATTCTTAATAAAATCATCTTATTTTATTGAAATATTATTGAAACATTAAAAGACAAACAATATCAAAATATGCCTAAAAGTTTAAATCTAAAAGCATGGAAGCACACCTTATATACATAATATTATTTAATATTATTATTCAGGATTTACAGAGCGCCAACAGTTTGTGCAGCGCTTTACAATATAAGGAAGACACTACAATCACACTACAATTCAAGATAAGATGGTAAGGAAGGCCCTGCCCCCGAGGGCTTACAATCTGAAAGGGAGGGGCAAGTGATACATGAGGAGGTAGCTGCGTGGGGATGAATTGTTTGAGAACGTGATGGTTGAGTGGTTACGTTGAGGTGGGATAGGCGTCCCTGAAGAGATGAGTCTTAGTAATATATACATAACCCACCCTGGACCTTGAACTATGTCAAATATTCATCCATAATGTTATCCAAACGAAAATGTTTTCTTCAAAGATGTAGATTTTCCAAAATGTTGAGGATATAGTTCAGCAAGGGTCCTAGTTCTCAATGCGTTTCACAATCATGCCTCCGCAGGATGGCTTTTTTATTAGTAGAAGTGTGCTTCAAAAAGTAAATAGACCCGCAGATGCAAACCCAAAACCGCAGTGGGCGCTCTCAACCTCCCTGGGGGGACCGCCAGGGGGTCTATATAAAGGTATGCCTGGGGGGCTGATGGACGAGCTGACACAGTAAATATTGTTTTTATTGATAAGAGGTGTCCCAGGCATAGGTCCTAATAGTCATTCACCCATTCCAATGTGCCACCTGTCTGTCCAGAGAAGTAGGTTGATATAGTTTTCAAAGAAAAAAAGGAAAAAAGAGAGGGGGGGAACGAAGCAAAAAGAGAACAGAGGGGGTAAAGGGCAGGGAGGGGAAGATGCAGAGGATGACCCTTGGGTAAAACAGCTCCTACAATCTTAAATGTTCCAATGAAATCATTATATAGATCGGTTGTATAGATAATAGGGAATGATCAAGTATAATATATTTTTAATGAACAAACTTTTTTTGTGGTACTTTGATAACATTTGCCAGAAAGTGATTTTTCTTTTAGGCAGGATTTTTAGTTTTAACAGTGTAGGATGGCTGAGAGGTTCCCTTTAAATTCAGTGGGTCCAGGGGTAAATAAAACCCTCTGGCAGTGACAAATCTTATACAGTATAAAACAGAGCTCCAGTAGATGTAGCTCAATCATTTAAAGGGAACAAGTCAGAGGCTGGAGAGTGTGGGGCCATCATCCTGCCTGCTGAGTCA